GCGCTCGCAGGGAGCGCTCTGTTGACCGTGAGAGTTCGGGGGAAAACGTCCTCCCCCGAGGTCGGTCGAGCTCCCCCCCTCAGTCGGACCGGCGGTGGGCACGCGGGCTCCCAGCGCCGTCGACGAGCGCGCCAGCGTCCCCTGGTCGGATGCGAGCGGCGACGCCGCCTCGGCTGGAGGGGCGGGCTGTGGTGGCGGGCGCCGAGGTCCGCCAATGTCCACCTGCTGCGTTGTCGCCGCTTGCTGTGTCACGTGCGGCGGGCCCTCGCCCCCCCCTGTGCTGCCGTCTCGGCCCCTTCCGCAACAGCAGCGTGCGCCAAACGGCCCCTCGGGGCGAGCTGGCACACGTCGGGGGCGAAGGGGGTGCGCTCTGGAGAGGCGGCTGGCGCGGACTGCCGCAACGCTGGAGGGGATACTCGAGCGGGCTGGCGCTGGGCTGCTCCCTTCGCCCCCGCAGCAGGAGCCCCCTCAGCAGCCCCCCTGTCATACGCAGCCTCCATTTCCTCCCCGAGATCGTCCACCGACCCTCCCCGACCAGCCGGCTCATGTTGGGTCGATTCCCTCTCAGCTGCGGCCCGTGCAACCCTGTCCCGCGATAGCGCGTGGAAGTGAGTGGTCGAGCCTGCAAATCCCGCCGCCACCTCCGACGGCTCTGCACCCATCCGCGCTGGCGCCTCCGCGACAGCATGTGCCGCCTGGGGGCCCGTATACTGTCCAGCACCCCGCCGCGCACCCGCTGCCCTCGCGCGCGCCGGTCCACTTCCCCCCCGGGTACTACGACTTGCACCATCAGTCCCTGCCAGCGCCCCAGAGAGGCAGCCCCGCGTTATCCGCCGATACTCTCCCGGAGTGGCGACCCCCCTCGTCCTGGGCTGGGGCGGCGGAGTGGTCCGATCCCCAGGTGGGGCTCTACCGCGGAGGGGGTGTGGTCGGTCCGTTTGTTCCCCCTCGGCGGCGGGCGCCATCTCCACGGGGTGTAGAGGCGGGGGCAGAAGCAGCGGAGACGGGGGGCGCGGAGTCGCCAGGGGAGGGGTCTCCCCGTCATGCCCGTGGGGCCGGGGTGGCGACGCGTTGGAGCCCGCTGACGGCGGGACCGCTGACGGCGGCTCCTGCGGGGATAACGGTCCCAGCCGCCACACTTCGTCGCCTTGGGCATGCTCGGAGGGGGACCGAGATACTGTTGACGATTCTGGCGTCGGCGAGCTCCGCGCTGGGGAGCTCAGGGGGCCAGTCAATGGCCCCGTACTTCCCCCTTCAGGGCTGCATGGAAGCAGCCATAGATCTTGCTGTGGAGGCCGCACGCGCGCGGCCCGGGCCCGCCCGGGGAACAGGCACGGACCCGCACCTTCTCGCCGCTCTCCGCCAGGTGTCGGCGAGCATAGACTCGGCGTCAGCTGCAGGGCTTGTAGCTGGCGCCGTGTCCACGCTGCAGGTCCTGTTGTCGTACCAGGCGGAATTGCTGGAGGAGGCCGGGCTGGCGGCTGTCGCGGATTAGCAGAGCGGCGGGAGTAGGTGCGGCCGGGCGGTGAGTCCTGCAGTCTGAGTGCCCCCGCACGGCGTATCAGGTGCTCCATGGGTGCTTGTGTATGCCTAGGCTAGGCCCCGCGGGAGAATGCTGTCCACTACCTATGAGTCCTATATTGTATTCTTGTTGCTTGTCATCCTAAGTGGAGAAATACGCTTGGGCAGCCTAGCGTATTGCGTACATACGCTAGCGTATAATACGAATACGCTGTACGCTAGCTAAGTACGCAATACGCTAGCGTATTTCTTGGCGGGCAGCCCGGCAAGAAATACGCAAAAAACGGTGCGACAAATTTGCGACATGACGAAACCCCACAGGGATTTCGTCATGTCGCAAACCGAAATTTGGCTTTTCAAATCGTCAACCCAACCCCTTCGCCCCTCCCAACCACACAGCATCCCACCCAATCTGCGACTTCCAAACAACACCCAAAGAAATCTCCTTCCTCTCCCTCTCTACTCTACTCCAGCAGGGTTCAGCGCAGTTCACTCCTACGACGAAATCAGGGTACAAGTAAACTGGCGCGCTAACTTCAGTCGTTTCTTCTTCCAAGCTAGCGCGACTAGCTAGCTGGTCTTTTAGCGACTGTTGCTATGTCGAACCCTCCACCTAGTCCTGGTTCCCACGGAACCGACGCGGGAACCTCCTGTGCTGCGTCTTCCTCTGACGAGCTCCTGGAGAACTCCACCCACGCTATCTTTAAGCATTTCAAGTTTAAGCATAAGGAGCACGGCAAGCAGCAAAAGTATTGGTGCAAGTACTGCCCCGTATCCTTTACCGGGACGGCCTACCGCTGCGCACAGCACATCACTAGTTGGGATGGTATGCGTAGGCGCGAGGTTCGGAAATGCGAGGAGGTAGGGAAGGAGGAGCAGGCTGCCGTCCGCGCGTTCCAAACCGCCAAAGTGCTCGCGAGGGAGGAGGCACATAGGGCGGAGGAGTCGGCCCTCGACGTCGTTAGTGGTCGGGGAAAGCGGAAGATCACCGATTACCTGTCCGATGACGCCCAAGCGGCCAAGGCGGCGGCGGACGAGGCTATTTGCCTCCTCTTTGCCGGCCTCCGCCTTCCCGAGCGCCATGCCGACCACCCGCTTTGGCGCAACGCCGTTCGGTCCATCGCGCGCGCGGGGACCAGCTATGTGCCTCCAAAGCGCGACTACGTGGGTGGTGCCGGCTTGCAGCTATGCCGCAAGCGGATTGACGAGGGATTGACGGGCGTCATGTCGAGCTGGAAGCGCCACGGCGTGACGATTGCCAGCGACATGATGACCGACAAGTGTGGCAGGCCGCAGGCGAATGTGATGCTGGTCAATGACACCGGCGCAGTGTTCGTCGAGAGTATTGACTGCAAGATGGAGAAAAAGACCGGGGGATACATCGCCCGGCTCCTCCGGCCCATCCTGCAAAAAGTTGGGGTCGAGAACATCGTGGCATTCTGCACCGATGGCGGCAGCAACTACCACAGCGCCTGCCGGCTCCTCATTGCAGAGAATCCGCGCATCGAGCATGTGCCGTGTGCGACGCACGTGCTCGACCTCCTTATGGAGGATGTGGGACGGCAGGCTTGGGCCAAGGAGGTAGTGGGGCGGGCGAGCGAGCTCATCAACTACACCCGCAGCCACCATTGGACCCGACAGTATCTCAGGGGTGTGGACGGAGGGAAGGGGCTGCAGATGCTGAGGCCGGCGGGGACCAGGTTTGGGACGCAGCACATTGCTGTGTCCCGCCTGGTGGAGTTGCGGTCAACGCTGGTGACCATGGTGCTCTGCGATGCATGGAAGGCGGAGTGGGCGGTGGGCCCAAAGAAGGCAGCTGCAGAGACATTCCACGACCAGATCATGGATAAGGACTGGTGGCCAGCGGCTGAGCTCTTCAAGAGGCTGCTCCTGCTCCCGTTCAAGGCCATGAGGGCGACGGATTCGGCAACGAAAGGGATGATGGGCCGCATCTATGAGCTGATGCTTGAGCTCACTGTGAATGTGGCAGAACTGCTGAAGGAGGAGGGGGATGGGGTGCTGAGTGCGGGAGACAAGAAGGGCGTCAATGAGATTGTGAAGCGGCGTTGGGATGAGAGTATGGCTTGCCCACTGCACGTGGTCGGGCGGATTCTTAACCCGGTCAACCAGGAGGAGCGGATTTTTGGGCCGGACACGGAGTGCACCAATGTGTTCAAAGCTTTCATTGCCCGCCACTATGGCGGGGTGATGATTCCCCAGAGGGATGGCCTGCCCAAGCGTGCCACACTCCTCCTGCAGGAAGGGTTGGCCGCCTTTCTGAAGTTGAGGGGCAGCTTCGGCACGGCTGAGGCCATCAGTGACCGGAAGTTGGTGAAGGAAGGAAGTTATTCCATGGAGGCGTGGTGGGAGTGGCACGGCACTGACCACCCCTTGCTCATGGCCCTTGCTTGCCGAGTGCTAACTCAGCCGGTGTCTGCATCCAGCTGCGAGCGCAACTGGGCGGTGTGGGATACTGTCCACACCGCCCGACGCAACCGGCTGGGTTCAGAAAAGTGCAAGGATCTGGTTTACGTTGCGCACAACTGGAAGGTTGTGCACAACTGGCACATGGCCGACGAGGGGGCGGGGGTGGTGTCCGGTAACATCCCGGACGCCCCGTCCCTGCGGGGTACAGGGTGGATCGGGAGGAGGAGGATGAGGAGGGCGAAGATGAGGAGCTGCTGGACGAGTACCTGTAGAGCAGAGCAGGAGAGGGTTAGGCGGGCGGTTTGGGGGAGGCTTACCTGAGATGGGTGGTTGGCTGGTTGTTGGAGTTTGGAACCCTTGACATGCCCTTGGTGGCTTGAACTATTTATTTATTACCATGCTAAATGATGCCACATTTGGTGGGGGGAATTTGGTGCTCTGAACCCCCCCTCTTCCCTCCCCAAACAGGTTTTTTTTACCCCTGCCCGAGTTGTTTTTATACCTGCCCGCCAGAGCGTATTTCCTAGCGTATCCAATCCCATAATGAAGCGTACAGCGTATATACGCTAGCGTATAATACGCTGGACGCGTATTTCTCCACTTAGTTGTCATCCCCTAACGGCGCGGCCGAAGGCCGCGCCGCGAGCGACGGCGGCCGAAGGCCGCCGGCGCGAGCCGAAACCAAGGAGGAAAAGAGAATGGATGGAAACTAAACAAGGAGAATGGGGAGAGAGAGGGCCTTATATAGCTGAGGAAAGGCTCATGCTCTCTCTCTCTCTCGCTCTCTCTCTCCTCTCTCTCGAAACCAAGGAGGAAAAGAGAATGGATGGAAACTAAACAAGGAGAATGGGGAGAGAGAGGGCCTTATATAGCTGAGGAAAGGCTCATGCTCTCTCTCTCTCTCGCTCTCTCTCTCCTCTCTCTCGAAACCAAGGAGGAAAAGAGAATGGATGGAAACTAAACAAGGAGAATGGGGAGAGAGAGGGCCTTATATAGCTGAGGAAAGGCTCATGCTCTCTCTCTCTCTCTCTCTCTCTGCGTGCGTCCTGCAGCGACATATCGTGCCACGTGGACAAGGCTCTCGACGCCTCGACCTCCACCATGGGCGCCACCACCGGGGCCGACGCCGAAATCCGCCTTCCATCCTCCGCCTCCTCCGCCTCCTCCGCCTCCTCCTCCCTCGCAAACCCCTCCCCTCCATCCACCCAGCCTCCCACTGTCTCTCCTCCCCCCGCCACTCCACCCCCTTCTCTTCCGCCCCCCTCCCCTCCAGCCACATCCCCGCCGCCCTCCCCTCCTCCCCCGAACCCCTCCCCTCCTCCCCCCCTTCCGCCCGCGCCTGTGGTGGTGGCAACGGGCTTGGCGAATGGCGGCATTGCGCAGGGGGTGGGGGCGGCGGGCAGAGACGGAGTGGTGAGGGAGAGGGGGACGGGGAGGGCGGGTCGTAGTACTGGAGGGGCTGGGCGGAAAGGCGGTGGGGCAGAGGGGGAGGGGGAGGAGGAGGAGGACGATGCGGAGGATGAGGGAGTGAAGGGGAGAGCGGCGGCGAGAGGGCACGGGGCTTGGGGCGCAAGGAAGAGGAAGGGCGGGAAGGGCAGAGGAAAGGCAGGGAAGAAGGCGAGGGGGGGATGGGAGAGGTCCGGGGACGAGGAGGATGACTATGAGGACGACGAGGGGGACGACGAGGGGGAGGAGGAGGAGGAGGAGGAGGAAGGAAGGCAGCGAGCAACAGGGGGAGCGAGGAGGGGCAGCAGAAAGGCAGTGGCAGGGCGGCGATCAGGGTGAGGGGGAGATAACCGAGGAGCAACCTGCCATGCTGCGCTGTCACTGCCATGCTGTGCCATGCTGTCGTGTCTGCCATGCTGTCGTGTCTGCCATGCTGTCGTGTCTGCCATTCTGTCGTGTCTGCCATGCTGTCGTGTCTGCCTTGCATGCAGCGCGTACTTCATCGTGTGGCCTGCTCTTCTTGCACCTTCCCTCTCACCAAACTTCCCTTCCTCCGCTCATCCCTTCCCTCCCCCTGTCGTCCCCCAACCCAACATTGCCCTCCCTCCCCCTCCCTCCCCCTCCCTCCCCCAACCTCGCCGCCCTTCCTGCCAGTTCGTCTCACGCATCTGACGCCTCTCAGCGGCGCAAGGGCAAGGGCAGGGGAAGGGCGAGGGGCAAGCTGGGGGCGAGGGGGGGCGAGGAGGAGGAGGGGAAGCGCAAGGATAGGAGGCGGCGAGGGGAGGAGGACGAGGAGGACGAGGAGGAAGACGAGGGGGAGGGCGCGCGGGGACATGGGGGGGCTTGGGCTCTGCGGTCCAAGAAAACAGAGGACGGAGGGCGGAGGCGGGGGAATGAGGGGAGAGGGGAGTACGGGGAGGAAGGGGAGGTGTTTAAGGGGGGGGTGGGGAGGGACAGGATGTGGCAGCGCGGGGATGGGTATGGGCGCAAGGGGAGTGAGATGGGGGGGGCGGACGACAGCAGGTGGCGCTCCCAGCAGCAGGAGGGGGCGGAGGGCCGCTCGTGGGCAGCAGGGGCAGGCACAGGGGGGGCGGGGCTGTGGTCGCAGCGCAGCAGTGGGGGGCAGGCGGGGTGGCAGGGGGACGACAGGGTCAGATGGGCACATGCCGGGGCAACCTATGGGGAGCAGGGCGCGGGGGCAGGGGGGTATTACGGCAGGGGGGCGGGCACGGGGGGGCAGTGGGGGGACGGTGGGCGGAGAGAGGGGGCAGTGGCGGGGGCATGGGGCGCAGGATCAAGGGCAAGGGGGGGGGTTGGGGGAGTGGAGTCATGGCGAGTGGGGGGGGTTGGAGGGGGGGGCACGTGGGGTGGGGAAGGCAGTTACTTGTTGTCGCCACCAGCAGCAGCAGCCGGCCGTATGCAGATGCTGCCAGGGGGGGGTGCCAGCACAGGCGCAGGCGCAGGCATGGGCATGGGCACAGGCATGGGCGTGGGTATAGGTGCGGGCAGCAGCAGCCCTGCAACAACTGGGTGGCGCGCGGGCGGGCTGCTGCCGTGGCTCACTGGCACCGCCTCGCCGCCCCCGGCTGACCCCCTTCCCCCTCCCCCCCCCCCATCTCCCGCCCAAGAAACACAGGCGCAACAAGAGCAGCAGGTACAAGAGCAAGAAGCACAGCAGGTGCAGCAGCAGGCTCAAGAGCTGGGGGAAGGTACGCTAGAGAGGGTGGATGAGGGCGACGCAGGGCAGCAGGCAGTGGAGCAGCAGCAACAGCAGCAAGAGGAGCAGCAGAAGCAAGGAGGGGGCAAGGGCGACGGCGGCAGTGGTGGGGGTGGTGGTGATGGCGGAAAGGAAGAGACGCAAGAGAAGAAGCCTCCACGCAAGGTGCACTCGCTTTCCCCCCTGCGCACACTCCCTGCTGCCTTTCGCTGTTGTCTTCTCCCTTCCTGAAATTCGCCAGCTCTCTGTGTTCCTCCCCCCCTGCCCCTTCACATGCACCCTCCGTTTCTTCTTCTGTCCCTCTGCCCCTCTTCTGCATGCCCCCCTCTCTGCATGCCCTTGTTTCTCTGTCTCTCGTTCTCTGCTGCATGCGTGTGAGTGTGGCCTGGCCCGTCAGATGGATTTCCTGCTCTTCAGCGGCTATCGCAGCACCATGGACACATTTGTCGCCATTGGCAACATCCGCCCCAACCGCACCTTGAACGACCTTGACTGCTGGTGAGCCGCACATGCGTGGGGGGCGCGCAGTGGCAGGGGCATGTGGGAGTGAGCGATGAAGTGGGTGTTCCATGGCACAAGCCTCGTGCCACTCCATCACTGCACCTTTGCTCCCGCCCCACCGCTGCTCCGGGTGCTGTGGAGTTCCTTGCCTGCCGTCAACGTCTGTCTTGTGGTTCTCCCACCTCAACAGCGCCATCGCATGAACACTGCTGACTCCCACGGCCATGCACGACTGGCGCTATGGCCCTGTTTTTCAAGCACCCGACCCTCACAGTGCCAATACCCCTCGTTCGCTGGTACTTTAGATGGTCACTCAATGCAGACCCACTGCATCGCGCCTCACAGCACAGCACCACGTGGCACCGCACTGTGTGCTTGAGTGGTGGCGATACCACCCCCATGCTGCTGTGTGCCTGCCATCGCACCCCTTCGCGCCACACGTCTCCGATTATCTTCTTCCCCGCCCTCCCCCCCCCTCCTTGCGGTGGCAGGTGGCGCACGAAGAAGGGGTCGCGGCTGGCGGGGCGGGTGTCGGTGAAACGGGTGGCGGAGATGGCGCTGGGGCCGGCGGTGGTCAAGACGCGTGGCAAGGGCCAGGAGATGGCAGCGCTGCTCTTCTGCATCTTGGAGGAGGAGGCCAACCTGCGCACGGGCGGCGCGCTCAGGATGAGCGTCAACGGCGCGGAGCTGCTGGTGTACGAGGAGGATGCCAACCCCGGCTACAAACTCAAATTCGCGGTCCGCCACCCGCCCACGCACCACCCACACACACATGCTCACTGCCATGCTCACTCCCGCGCATGCCTTGGACCAGCACAGCACTGGCAACTCGCCGTAATGCCCTTGTTTCTGCCCCACTCGACGGCTCCTTGTGTGTGTGGCAGCTGGCACTGTGCTCGCACTCCATCCACGGGCCCCTTGCACTCGTTCCACCACACCCTTCTCCCCTCCGCCCCTGCCCTCCTCCCTTGCGTGTGGCCATCCGCCCCTTGTGTGTGTGCCCCTGCTGCCCCCCCAGGCGGAGGAGACGCTGGTGTACGACGTGGTGTACTGCTCGCCGCCGCTGCACCGCGAGTACGACACGCTGCGCCTGTACCAGTGGGTGGAGTACCACCGCAAGGCGCACCGCATCGACTTCTTCCAGCTGTATGATGCGGGCGGCGTGACGGACGACTTCCTGGGCGTGGCGGAGTCGCTGGTGAACGAGCGCCTGCTGGCCGTGCTCGACATGCGCATGGCCGCCAAGCACGACCCCTTCATGCGCGGCCAGGTGAGCCAAGGGGGGGGGGGGGGGGGGAGGGGGGGGAGAGTTGAGGCAGGGGAATGGCATACAGGGAGTGGCGTGCGCGGCTGGGAGTATGGATTTGAGGTTTGCTACTGCAGGGGCGCTGTGATGGGCTTTGCTCGTTTGTTGTTGGCCCAAGGTTGCTCTATTTCCACTATCTGGCTGCGACCCCACTGCTCGACTGCATTCATGGAGTACTATCAAATGAGCACTTGGCTCAGCAAGAGGTCTTATTCTCCACTATACGTCCAGTACTGAATTATATGTCTCACTCCTCCCTTATCCTCCCCCCCCCCCCCTCCCCCTTCCCCCCCCCCGCTCCCCCTGCCCCACCACTGTTCCTCGGTATGTCTCCCTCCCCTCTTCCCTCACCTCTCATTTTCCTGTCCCTGTGCGCCTCTTCTCTCCCCTTCCCCCCCCCTTGTGTGTGTGCGCGCACGTGGGGCGGGCAGCTGCTGGCGGCGCACGACTGTCTGTACTTTGCGCGCACGACAGCGCGCTGGGCGCTCTTTCTCGACGTCGACGAGTACCTCTTCGTCACCGCGCCGCCGCACTCCATCCACGCCACACTCACCAAGCACAAGGTGCGTGCAGCAAGCACAAGGTGCCCGCACCAAGCACAAGGTGCGTGCACCAAGCACAATGTGCGCGCAGCAAGCACAATGTGCGCACCAGTTTCCCCACTCCTCGCCTGCTCTGCCTCTGGCTGTGCATGCAATGCCTAAAAGGGAGGAGCTTGTGGGCTCCGGGCTCAATGTGGTGCCCCTGCTGCTCTCCCGTCGCCCTCCTCTGCTCCCCTGCCACTCACATCTGTCACCCCCCTCACCATGCCCAACCCCCTCCAGCGCTCAACGTTCCTGACGGTGGGGTCGGTGCGGTACTTCACGGAGCGGTGTGCGGCGGCGCCCGAGGGCGAGGAGTTCAACGGGTGGGAGGTGGAGCGCATGGTATTCCGTGACCCCAACCCCACGTGCACCAACACCACCATGCACGCCAACCGCAACCTCTGCCTCGACGACCCTGGCAACCGCAAATACATCGTGGACCCACGCAAAACACAGATGATCGCGGTACGCCTGCACCGCATTGTCATCAGCTTGCATGTGGCCGGCTCCTGTGTGTGAGGTATCGTTGCATGTGGTGCGGTAGGTGGTTTGCAATAGATTGCAGTGTGAGCTGCGTGCACAACATGTGTTGTGCACTCCCCACCTTTGCCTCCCACGCATCCCACCCACCCCCTTGTCCCCCTGCACGCCTCTCATCCACCCCTGCCCCCTGCGTGCGCTGTCCCCACCAGGAGCACCGGGTGCTGGAGCCGCGCAGTGGGGGCACACACCTGGACGCAGGTGAGGTGCGCATTGGGCGCTTCCCCGACCTGCCGGTGGCGGCGCTGGAGCCATGTGGCAAGGTGGTGAAGGATGGCGACTGGATCCCGCCCGCCTGGACCAGAGACACGGGCCTCGCCAAGCTGGCAGAGCGGGTCAGGCTGGACGAGTCGCAATGAGAGGACGGCACCACACGCAGGCTGGTGGGAGTTCACGCGCGATGGTGCTCCAGGCACGGCGCTGAGTCTTCCCAGGGGCTCGTACATGCACACTGGGTGATCTGGCTTGCCACCCTCACTGCTCTCGGGCATCCTGGCAGTGCCCACATCTAAGCTGATCCTCCATATCTCACCGTACGAGGTGCACCCATCCAGGCTGGAAGAGAGACTCGTCAATTCATAGTGCTTGAAATGGAGTGCACGACCTGACCAGGGCCATGATTGGTTTTAGGCCACTCTTAGAAATCAGAGTAGGAAAAAAAAATTACCCTGACGGACAGCTAAAACAAATCTAAGTCTGATTTGACGGTAATTTTTTTCGAAGTCTTTGCTTTAAGTGTAGAACCTTTTGCACCCTTTCTAGCCTTGGCCATTTAAGAAACATTTGACAGGAATGAAGTGGGCAGCACTGAGGTGTGGAAAGTGTAATAATTTGACAGGTGGTGCAGGAGACTAAGTATAGTTGTAAGCTACTAACAGACGCCTAGCTACCTAGTTCCGCTAGTTGACCCCTTGTTTTTTCCGCCCTAGTGCCTAGGAACAGTGAGGAAAATGTGACGCAACGAGATAGGGACAGAGTGGCGCGGCGAGAGGGAAAGAGAGAAATTTACGCGGCGGGAGAGAGAGAGCAGCGCGATGGGGGAGAGAGCAGCACAGCGAGATGGGAGAGAGAGAGAGTGACGCGGCAGGAAAGAGAGAGAGTAGCGCGATGGGAGAGAGAAAGAGAGTAGCGCAGCGGGCGAGAGAGAGAGAGTAGCGCGATGGGGGGGAGAGAGAGAGAGTAGCGCGGCAGGCGAGAGAGAGAGTAGCACGATGGGGGGGGGGGGGGGGGGGGGGGGGGGGAGAGAGAGAGAGAGAGAGAGAGAGAGAGAGAGAGAGAGAGAGAGAGAGAGAGAGAGAGAGAGAGAGAGTAGCGAGATGGAAGAGAGAGAGAGAGTAGCGAGATGGGAGAGAGAGAGAGATAGTAGCGAGATGGGAGAGAGAGAGATAGTAGCGAGATGGGAGAGAGACACAGTAGTGCGGTGGGAGAAAGAGAGAGTAGCACGGCGGGAGAGAGAGTGAGAGTAGTGCAGCGGGAAAGAGAAAGTAGCGAGATGAGAGAGAGAGCGGCGGAGTGAGATGGGAGAGAGACAGAGAGTAGTGCGGCGGGAGAGAGAGAAACTAGTGCGATGGGAGAGAGAGCAGCGCATCGAGATGGGAGAGAGACAGAGTAGCGCGGCAGGAGAGAGAGAAAGGGGCGGCTGGATAGAGTGTGTAGCGCCGCGGGAGCGTGTAGTGCGGCGCGACGAGAAAGAGAGCGAGGTGGAGAGCGGATGAGAGTTGCGCTGCGAAAAAAGGGTGGCGCATTGCGACAGTCTTGCTCCTTTCGACGTGCACTCACCGTCTCCCCCTCTCTCCTCACCTCTCCCTTCGTTTGTGCGCCCCTTCCTCTCTCTCTCTCTCTCCGCACCTCTTCCACACCTCTCTCCGCGCCTCTTCCTCTCTATCTCCGCCCCTCTCCTTCGATTTCGCCAGGGCTTTCCTTCTCGCGCTCCCGCACTGAACACCGCTTCCTCACCGTATTTCTCCCGCTCTCCACACATTTCGCCGCGAGTCTCTCTCTGTGTCGTGGTTTTGGTATTTTGCACTCTGTATTTCACTCGCGGCATTTTATTTTGCTGGTTCTTTGACGTGACATTTGAGGGGGAAATGCGAGCCTTAGGCTCTCAAAATCAAGGTCCTCAGCTTGTCTTTCGCATGGTAGCAAATGGCTTGTGAATTGCGACAATCATGCAAAATGTTCATTCGTAATTTTGTCGCCAACTATCGCACGAACACAAACTGGCCCCCTAACAAAAAATTGTCTCAAGTTTACAACCAACACACTCTTGAGCCGAACTATTTCGAGTTGGGTCCAACTTGAAAAGGGGGCCCCTATTCTAGCCTCTCGCTTTAACTAAGCAATGAAGACAGGCTACTTTTATGGGAAAGTACATCCGCGCTCAGTATTAAGGTCCCCGCTATTACGTACGGTCAGTGGAACGCTATGAACCATCAAAATTAGTGAGTTCGTCACACGGCTAGTCAGTCGGGTTCCACGGTTAGTCAGTGACTGCTGGTAAACATTTCTACGAATGGTCAGTAGACGTAACTATCAGAATTAGAGAAGTGAATGATGAGTAGAGTGAGAGTACACACAGATATACCTAAGTGTTGTACCCTCTAAGAGGCGACCCTATACAGTCTATACAAACATGACAAATACACATGTTTGACACACCCCCTAGACTGCATAGGGGAATGTCCTAAACAAACAGCTCAGGGCGGCACTACTAGTCCAACCTTCGAGACAAGGGTCTAAGAGACCAGTCAGAAGGAGTACAAACAAGGCAAGAACAAGAGCAGGACGGCACTACTAGTCCAGCCACTGGGAGAGGACACAAGTCCAGTCTGAGTACACATATAAAGGACAGTACAAAGTCAAGGTCCTAGCAAGTGAGAGGCTACAGGAACTAGACCAAGCTGTACACAGTGCCGCTGATGATCTTTAGGCGCAAGCGCCTTCGTAAAGATATCAGCCGTGTTGGCACCTGAGGCCAAGTGTACTACGCGAGCTTGACGTCGCTGCTGTAGCTCACGCAGGAGGAAGTACCGCAGCTGAATGTGCTTCGCTCTGCCCTCGAGTCGAGGCTCCTGACACAGGAGGATCATGGCCCTGTTGTCAGCGAACAGGACCGGGGCAGAGCTAGGCCGCTCACCTAAGTCAGTGAGCAAGAAGGTCAGCCAGCGGAGCTCCTGTGCCGCCATGGCACCAGCGTAGATCTCAGCCTCACAGCTGGACTGCGCTACAGACGAGGAGCGGGTAGCTCTCCACGAGACGGCACCTGAGCCAAGGCTGAAGCAGTAGCCCTGGGTGGACCTGAGTGTCTCAGCGTCGTCTGCCCACGAAGCGTCTGTGTGTCCAGTAAGGACCACTGGCCTGCGTCCTCCTAGCACTAACCCCATGCCCGATGTACTAGCAAGATAACGCAGAACCCTCTTAGCGGCAGACCAGTGCCGCGGTCGGTGTCTGCCTGTGGCCACAAAGCGAGCCAGGATGCTGAGAGGGTATGCGAGATCTGGGCGAGTGCAAGTCATCAGGTACATGAGGCAACCCACCAGCTGTGCGTAGGGGCCGCTGGGCTCTGCCAACTCCTCAGACACTGGAGCGGAGAGTCTGTGGTCTACAGGCAGAGGGGTGGGCTGTGCAGAGGAGAACTGAAGGCTGAACCTCTGAAGGACCTGGCGCACCAAGTGTGACTGAGTCAGGGTGATGGTGCGCGCAGCTCTGTCCCTGGAGATCTGCAAGCCAAGGTAGCGGCGCAGTTCTCCAAGGTCAGTGCACGTGTGTCTCTTCAGCAGCTCTGCCTTCACGGAGGCCAGTGCGTCCCTGTCTGCTGTGGCAAAGACCAGGTCGTCGACGTAAACAAGGATGTAGAACGGAGTCTGGCCAGCAAGAACGAAGAGTGAAGGGTCTGCGGAAGACGGAAAGAACTGCAGGTCAGCAAGCGTAGCACGGACAGTGACGTGCCACTCACGGGGAGCCTGACGCAGGCCGTAGACGGGGCGCCGCAGGAGCCACTGGGTCCCAGGAGGGAAGGTGCCAGTAAAGCCCTGAAGGCGACGCAGGTAGACCTGCTCGTGTAGGCTGCCCTGAAGGAAGGCAGTGGAGAAGTCGAGGGAGTGAAGCTCGTAGTCACGCTGAGCAGCTAGGTGTAACAGAACCCGAAGAGTAGTCATCTTTGGGGTCGGAGCGAAGGTCTGGAAGAAGTCCACCCCCTCGCGCTGACTGAAGCCTCTAGCCACATAGCGCGCCTTGAAGACAGGCGGCTCTCCAGGAGGGCGCTTCACCTTGAAGAGCCAGCGGCCATCGACTACGTTCACCCCAGGTGGGGGAATTGCGTCGACGAAGGTGCTGGTGGATCTCCAAGATGCCATCTCCTGCTCCATGGCAGCTATCCACTGCGAGGCCCAGGGTCCCGAAGTCGCCTCAGCGTAAGTGCGAAGGGTCGGGATGTCGAAAGCGTCTGGGTCACCCTCAGGGACTAGCAGCATGGAACAGAGATGGGGAGCAACCTCGGAGAGGAAAGCAAGCTCGAACTGGCGGTCCTCCAGGACGTCACTGCCAAGGGCAGGAGCACCCCCGACAGACGGAGGACAGGCAGGGTCAGAGACCAGAGCGGAGGCGTAGTCAAGGCGGCGGGTAGAGGCAAAGTCAGCGACAAGAGCGTCAAGGCACGAGGCCGGAACAGACGGGTCGGTAACGAGAGAGGCAAGGACCCGAGGAACAAGAGGACGAGCGGCACGAAGGTAGTCAGACAGCGGGGAGCTGCTCGAGGAAGCGAAAATTACGACCATGCCCGCCTTCTCACTCCTCTGCGACAACCAATCCGAAATCAAAATCGCGAACAAAAACGGGTTCGCCAACCGAACCAAGCACATCGCCCTACGGTATTTCTTCGTCAAGGATGAAATCGCGAAGGGGAGACTTCAACGCAGTTACTGCCCCATGATAGAGATGGCTGCAGATTACCTGACGAAGAAACTGGCGAAGGCAAAGTTCGATTACTGCATGATGCTGACCGGGCACATAAACGTCACCGAAACTGGACACGTCAGCACTCCAGAAATGAAGGGGAGTGTTGGAAACACCTCAAAGACTTAAGCGTTTCTGAAGTGTAACACTACACTCGAAGAAAAGTCATATCGAGTACACAAGTCAACAGAGGTTACACGAGGAGGTTGGACGAAAGAAAACGGAAGGATGAAGGGACTCGAAGGGTTACAACCGGAGGTTGCGACTGACCGTTGCGACTGCAAGGGTGGTAACCGAACCAACGATCGAGTCGCTGTGCGACTCGATAACCGTTTATTCAACTGTATTCTACAACTGCTTTATTCCCTATTTTCTATATATTCTTGTATGCTTGCTTCTTTTAATCAATCACTTGCTCTCACATACTAGTGCAAGGGTTCAACTACTCAACACTTCCGCTGCACTATTCAAACACCGTGTTCAAGTGGGACTTAGTCTCTGGAAAGATCCTAAGGGCTTTTCTCAGCCCAACACTCGTCACACACACCCCACAAACCTGAAATTTTGGCTAAGTCCTCCAGAACCAGAGACATTCCTCGTCACACACACCCCACAATTTCCCCGACACAACAACCAGACACGCATCGTCAGCCGAAGGTGTGCGGGTCGGAGTCGCAGGGTCGGAGGCGTTGCAGAGGTTAAGCACAGGCGTCGTCGCAGAGGGGAGTCGCAGACGTCGCAAGCGATCGTTACAAAGGATCGTCCCAAGCATGTAAAATTTTCCCCGCCCTGTTCCCGCCCCTGCAAATTCGATGTCCCTCCCG